GTTATCGGGAGGGACTGATCCCCAGAGAATGACATCATGCTTGGTAAAGTAGAGGTTCAATGAGAAAGAGGAAGACCCTCAACGAGATGGACTGACACGGTGGCTACAGTAATGAGCTCAAGCACAACGATTGTGAGGATGGCACAGGACCAGGCAGTGTTTCGTTCTTTCGTACCTAGGTTCACTATGAGTCAGAATCGATTTGACGGCCCCTAACGACAACAAATTTTAGCCAGAAATGTGATAGGACATTTCCAATCTGAGGGGTTCAGTTTGTGCTTCCGTGAATGTGCAGTTCACCCAGACCCTGTTCTGTGCCTCGCTGAACAGCTGTTGCCATCAAATTGATTGTGACTCACAGCGACCCTATAGGATGGAGTAGAACTGTCCCTCTTTAGTCTGGCAGAAACACGGGCCCTGTCTGTGTTTACTGGGTTAGCGGAAGGAATGATTTGCGACTTTCTCTTGCAGATTCTTTCACTCGAGAATGCATGGAGGGGAAGTCTTTCTTTTGTCGTGTCAGGTAAGCCCGGCCAGTGCGTTTCCTAAGCTAGAAGACGGTGCAAATGTGGCCCCATAAGCGCTGGTCCTAAAGCTCTCAGTGGGTGCAGCCCGTCCTTAGCAGTTGCTGGCAGGGAGGGTGGAGGGGCAGGGCCTGCCTGGCCCTCGTTCTGGAGTCTGGAATCCTCGTGCGGAGGAGACTGCGAACACACGCCCCCTGCTGGGCAGGGAGGATGGTCTCAAGAGCTTGTGTGCAAACCTGCTTCCATAAAACACACTTTGATTGTGTACAGGCGTTGGGAGGGCATAGCAGTGGGCAACAGGGAGGGGACGTCACCTGTACCATGTGGACAATGCTCACCTTGCAGACGAGCTTTTAATGGCGGACCTGCGGACCCAACGGTGCCCGTGGACCCCAAAGGTGCATGCAGCCTGCTGTCCACGTGTGTGCTTTTCTAGGGAGTCCTGTAGCCTGGCAGTAGGACTTTGACCGCATACAGGGTGACAATTGAGTGTCCGCTGTGGTGCCAGGAGTGACTCCAGGGCAGATGCGTGCCTGCTGGTGGGGAGGGGGCCTGGAATCCCACCATGGGGGCTCACCCTTGGTGCTTTGCCCCAATTGCAGTGCATGCTGTAGGGGAGGGTGCCAGAGAACCTCGCCCTTCCACGTGAAGGCGGGTTTGGGGCTGCCCTGCGCCCTGTGGCTTGGCCGGGACCTGGCCCCACAGTGCCAGCCTGTGGGCTCTGTGGTGGAGGTGGTGGTCGGTCAGAGGGTAGGTGCAGCAAACCCACGAATCACTGGCATTAACAGTGAAGGTCTCACCCCTTTTTGTAATTCCAGACTGCAGTCACTCCAATTTCTCTCTTCTCT